ACTCCACAGAGCAATATAAAATCTTTAGCCATTACTGCTATTTGACTCTGTATCTCGAGTGCCTAGGTACAAGGTGACATTCAAATGGTAGCAATTGTTATTAGTGGCAACATGTGGCCATGTAGGACTACTGTAATTATCATGGGAATCAGCATAATTGACAACATGACCACTTCAGGAGGTTGGGCCCAGACACTGGCCAAGAGCTCAAGGCAAGGAAGGCATGGTCCTCCAAAGGCAGAAGAAGACAACAGGGTGGTCACAGATCAGGACAGTGAGCTCACAAGCAACAATTGGGATTCTAGAGCCTTGGAATCAAATACTACTATCTCCTTCCTGTGCAAAGCATGTAACAGTTTATAAGGCGATTCCACATTCATTATGTCATTTGCTTTCTACAATCTCTGCTGTGACGTTGGTGGAACTATACCTATTTAACAAGTGAGGAAATGATTCTTACAGAGGAGAAATGGTTTCCTAAAAGTCACCCAGCTAAGGAGTGGTTGGTTAGGTTTCACAGTCAGGTATTCTGCTAGTGCATTCTATGTTCTGTGAGTGTGGCCCAGAGTTAGCTATGGCCACCTGAAGACTGCAGGAGAGCACTATCAACCCATCCAGGAAACCAGAGCAAGATCCCCAAGGGTCAGGGGTTCACCAAAGTCAAGCATCAGAGTAGCTGCCATTGGACAGTGTGGGGTCCTGAATAAGAGGAAGACCAGGAGACAAGAAAAAGGGACTGAGAGGCCCAGCCTAAAATTACCACAGATCTCAAAAGTTGGGGTAACTTTGATTAGCAATTCAGAAACCTCAAAAAGCAGAACCTGAAGAGCCAATTACAGAAGAAATGTCTCCCAGTGGCAGTTATTTTTAATTGCTCATCTGATCCTTATTATAAATCTCTAACCTAAGTATTATGTTAAACATAAGGAAACGAAGGTTCATGCAGGGCATATGATATGCCTGTGATCATGCAGTAAACAGGGGAAAAGCAGAGAGGAGAGTCACACCTGGACAGGGTCTCTGTGCCTTCCACAGGGTCCAAGTTTCCTATGGCCCCCTGTTCCATATTTGTCCTGCTGAATGTTCTAAGACTTCTTGGTTCATCTCAAGTGGGTCTTTTAAGAGACAAGGTAGCAGAGGTGCCCTGGTCAGTGGTCTAGAGTGCAGGGGGTGGTGCTGTGAGGTAAGGGACAAGGGTGGCAAGAATAGCCAGAAAGACAGGAAAAGTATAGCTAGGGGCCTAGGCACCCTCCCTGTAGCATAGTCCTTGGCAGCATGGCCCTATGGGAGCAAAAGGAGGAAGAGAACAGACAGGAGGACCAGGCCCCAAAAAGTACCAGAAGCCAAGACAGCCCTGGACCAGGGTTCAAATCCAGGCTGCCGCCTGTCAGCTGATAACCTCAAAAAGATCACTTCAGCTTTCAAAGCCTGTGTGCTAGCAAAAAGGAGAAGCATAACCACCTGCCAGTTCTTATGAAAACAAGGCAGTTTCGAGGTAAAAACAGGAAGAGCACCATGCTCCTTTTAAAGCAATCCGTATTAGACATCCACAACCTAGACTCATCAAAACAGCATGTTATGTAACAAGTTTTACTTGTTAATAAATAAATGAAATAAATAAGGTGCAGTAGGTAAGGCAGTCATAGGGTACCTGCTCATTTTGCTCATTTTTGTTTAGAAGTTGTTCTCTTTCATGCTATAAATAAATAAATAGAAATCCATTAACATAAGGCAAGTATTGACTACTCTATCACAGTACCTTCCAACTTCCAGAAGAACTACAGTCAGGGCATTTTCAGAAGCGGCTCTTTTGGAATCTGTTCCATTAACCAAACAAGGCACTGACTGCAGGCAGTAGGCTTATCTTACTTGCTTATGAAGGCTCGCAGCTGATTCCCCAGAGTCTGGTTTGGGGTTCCCCAGAGAGCCAGGATGACCTGATTCCTCCCCCAGCAAAGCCCTGAGGGGCTGGCATGGCTGTCAATGCCACAGAGGCTCAGAGCCAGCTGACTTCATGGTTGGGTAATTCCCAACTGCACAGCTCTCTTATTCAAAAATGACCCATTCTTCCATTTACTCTCAGAAAATCGTGCAGCTGAATTAAAAAGAAAGCAGCCCAGGGAACAAGGTTATGGGAAGGAAAACATGGCTTCAGACTAAATAGAAATCAAATGTAAAACTGCAGCTCCACAGCCGGGGCAAAGGCCACAGGTATAACTGGGAAGGGAGTTCATGACATTAAGGCCCTAAGACCCTGAAGCCTGGTTTCATCCAGATCCTACTTACAGCCTGGCATCCACGAGAAGTAGCAAACTCCCTGCATTCAGGCAAGAGCCATGTTTTATTTGACCTGCATGAAATTATCCTCCCACTCCCAGGCAGGGTTTTCATTTTTATTTTTTTAATTAGTTGACAATTTATTTCACAGTAGACACAGGTTTCTATTTTTCCCTCAAACCTTGCTGCTAGACCTGACAACACTGGCCCGCCCATATTCTGATATAAAAACTCAGGGGGAGGACAGAAACTTCATTCCTCCGGTAGCTACAGATCTGGTTGGCTTCTCCTGTTCTTGTTTCAGGACTGGCTTCTTCAGCATCTGAGTGTATGAATCTTAATTTACATAAAGCATTATGGAATAAATGCTCACTCTGATTTACTGCAGGCCAGAGGTTGGGGGCTTGTTGATAGCCTATTGGCATGCAGAAGCTTCTTGCACAGAGCAAAGGAATCATAAGACCTGGTATTGAAAAACCTTGAGCCATGACCTGCATTTTATCTGGTCCCTGTGTGCCACTCAAATAGGAGGTCTCCCCCTATGCAGGAGGGAGCTTATGCAGTTTGAAAGCCCCCTTTTTAACTGTTTATAGTGCTGAAGGATCAAATAAATAAATATATATGTATATAATATATAAATGAAATAACATATGTGTGTATATATACACACATATATGTATGTATATATATATATATATATATATACATTTATATGCATATATATTTATATTCATATGTATGTATATATATATATGAGAGACATGTTCATAACGTATAAAACACTGCAGTAAGTATGAGTTCCCCAAGGAAGGATTCGTTTTGGGCACAACCATGGAGCTCTTCACCCCCTGTGAACTCTACCTGAAGCAGGGCCTCACTGTAGATATTTCTACCATGACATGGAATTTAAGTTGGTTAGCTTTGCTTAAGAGTACACACAAGGACCTGGCACTGTGGTACATACCTGTAATCCCAGTAGGACAGGAGGCTGAAGCAGGAGGATCACGAGTTCCAAAGCCAGCCTCAGCAAAAGCAAGGTGCTAAGCAATTCAGTGAGACTCTGGCTCTAACAAAATACAAAATAGGGCTGGGAATGTGGCTCACTGGTTGAGCGCCCCCATAGTTCAATCCCCAGTACCTGCCCCCGCAAAGAAGAGTTGTACACATGGGATAATGAGAGACTGTTCCCTGTGAAAAGTGGTTCTGCTACCAAGAGAAACACAAGGAGGCCCTCTACAAGAGCTGTGAACACAGTCATCCATCCCACATCAAGTTAGCCCTGCTGGAAATTGACTTTTAATGCCTAAGTGAATGAATGTGCCGACTGGTTAATGCTGAAAATTTCCACCTATAAACATTTCTTAGAGTTGAAGCATATTTCTCTGCCCTGAAAAATGCAAAAATGTTATCAGTCATTCAACATGTAAAGTTACCCTTAGTGACTTCATAATTTAGATTCAGAAAGACTGGAAAATGGGATAGTAAGCTTAATAGAGGGAAAAGATGGAAGAGTCCAAGGCCCTGGGCAACCAGAAGATCAGAGTGAGAGAATTCACTAATTAGGAGATGAAGAGCACAGGGGTATAATAAACATTAATATCTGCTTGAGCCAGCTCTGCTTCTGAAAAAGACTGACTACCCTAAGTGTGCATTCCTACCCTGGCATCCATCTTTCCTCCCTGTCACTGAGTTATTAGAGAATAAGCCTTGGGCCAACTGTGGTAATGAATAATAGTTAAAGGGGATGGCTGTTATCTCAGCCTGAGAAGGAGGGAGACAATAACTGAATGCAGCCATGTCAGTGTCTCTACTGAATCCAATAGAATTTTCCTGCTTCATTTACACCATCCCCATCAACACACATGTACACACACACCCACAAATGCAATAGATCACCCCAAAAGGATTAGCATGTTCTTCCAAAAGTGAAATAAATGTCTGTCTGGGCCTCATATAAGATGGTACATGTGGCCAAGTTCAAATCAAATCACATCCTGAGGAAAGAGCTGTATTTTGCATTCAAATTGCTTTGAACTTGTACACAGAGAATTATTGTAATGGCAGCATCTTCATCTTCTGGAAACCAAATCAGTTGCCTTCTATGAATATTGCCTGATAGAAGACTCTAAAAATATTTCTTTTCTTAGCGTTCAAAAGGGGAGAAGGAAAAAAATGTCAAGAGTTTGGGTAATGACTCTCACCTAGAGGACAAAGCAGTCAAGACACATTTAAATATGAAATTGTATCCTCCAGTTTCTATATTCAAATATCAGCTGTGCTAGAAAAACTCACGTGAATAGATTTATGTATTGAATTGAAGTGCAAAGGAAAAAATAAATAATTCTTATTACAGAAATCGTTGAATGAATACAGAACAACAGATATAAACAGTACAGATTGGATCACTTTGCTACACAAAATAACCCAATTTTTCTTTATTAAAACAAAGACATCTTATTTTAAAACTAATCAGAAGACCTAAGGAGAAGAACATAGACCTAGTACCAGCTCAATTATTTGGAGTTTCTTCCTCCTGCCCAGTGCTTTGCTCTGCCAACTCATTTGCATCCCTGCAAGGAGTTCTTCCAGACCCCCCCCCCCCCCCTCCAAATGTTGTACATTCTCTCTGAACCTGCCAACCCCCACCAGTAAATCTGTGGTGAGAGGCAGCACAGGAGCTGGTACTGCTGGGAAATACTGTTAAGGAAGAAGAAGGACCTTACCACTTCTGGGAGCAGCCTAGTTGAGAGGTCATGGATGGCTTTGACCACTATACATATGGATGACAGAAGGAATATCACCCCCAAGATGACACAGGCTCTGCAAAAAACAAAACATTGAGAGTCTTAACTGGGAGAACTCCATACTGCTGAAGAGTTGGCACAGTTGACCACGATGAGCACACCATCTGAAAAGTGAATTTTTCCATAATTCCCTACACCCCAACCCCAAGTCCCAGAATTGACACCAAGTTACTCTGGGAGAATACAGTTCAGGATTTTATCAACAAAGGCAACCTCACAGGTAAGGGGTTCACCATCCTACATCACCTTGCAGTACTCCATGAATGCTGGCAATGGAAGGGTCTGCCATAAAAGTGTCATGGAAGCCATCTCCCTTGCCTGGCAAACTTGCTGCTTCAATCCTGCTCAGGCTAAAGGGTGAAGAGTTTAATAACAGAGTGGAGACTGGCATGGGACATCCCAAGCTCTGCCACTTAACTTGTTGCAGGTTCTTGGTCAAGGAACTGAGACTCTTTTAGCTTGTATTTTCTCACCTTTTGGATAGGAATAACATGTCCTACCTGAAGATGAAACGAAACGATGAAGTAAACTGTTGATGATAATAGCTGAGACAAAGGAAGTCAGCTCCCGATGCCTCTTCTGGATACGATTCAATAAAATACAAACCTTTGGATTTTCCCGGCCAAAAGAAGGAGGAATGCTTTGATAATTACAAAAGACAGAGTGTTTATGGTAAGAGAGAGGAAAGAAAGAAGGACAGGAAAGAGAGGACAGAGAAGACAACAAGAAAGAGAGAAGGAAAAACAGAAGAAAGGATGAGGTCAAGCAAAATACAAAGCACAGGAGGAGGCAGGAGCAAGTTGAGACGAGGCCAATGATAATAGGAGATGATACACAACTGGGAAGGTCAGGGGAGAGGACTGATAAGAAAATCAATGGGGTTCATGGCAGAATCTGGCAATCCAGATACAACAAATCTCAGGAGACAGAAAATGAAAGTAAACAAGAGGAAATGCTAATCCTAATACAAGGGTCAAAATACCAAAACGGAGAGGGAGAATACAAGGACAACTACAATTAGTTTTAGATCATTCCTCTCCCAACGTGGTATCTCCAACATTTGGAAACCTCTCCCACCAGCTAGCAAATAGAACCAATTTTCAGGGCTGGGGTTGTGGCTCAGTGATAGAGCGCTTGCCTAGCATGTGTGAGGCACTGGGTTCAATTCTCAGCACCACATATAGATAAATAAATTAGAAAATCAAGGTCCATTGACAACTAAAAATATATCTTTTAAAAAATGTTTTTTTTCATTATTCTTCTTGGATTCCCTCTTCTAGACTAATAGCACATTCCCAAACTATTCACCTAATTTTGAAGTGAAACCTACGTACAATCCTAATAAACCCGTGGATAGATACAACCCCCCTAATTTAGAAGTGAGGAATACAAGCAGGTGAACCCACGGCATGGAATGCACTTAGGAGTCTTCTTACCCACCCTCTAGTGGTAGGTTTGCTCCTTTCAAAGACACAGAATGAATCATCGCAGGCTGGAGCAAAAACACACACAAAATGAACACATAGATAGAGGAAAAGGTAATGAATGGGCTAGGATCTTGGTGGAGACTTGAGCAAATGGATGAGTCACCATCAGTGCCATGCATTCTTGTAATGAGCCCCCACGGAAAAACATATGCTCAAGAGGGAGAAAAGAGAATGTGGGCAGTAAAAACACATTGCCATGGCTGACCGGTTCAGTTGAGATGGTGCACCTGGGGCAGGTGACCAAGTGCTCTCAGGCCCTTACTGGAGGGTCCTTTAGTAACTAGGGACTGGAACAAAGGCAGGGATTCCCAGATTTTCAGGATCAGTTTGAAGCAAATACCAAGCACCTCCTTGGAAGATGGCCAGCTGTACTCAGTGCTTGGAATAACCATTTATACCTGACAGCAAAGGGGCTGGAAGGGGTCCCAGTACAGACAAAAAGACTGAAGTCAATTAGGCCTCCAACATAAGGTTTGTTTGTTTTTTTTTTTTTTTTTTTGGGGGGGGGGGGGGGGGGGGCGGGTTACTAGGAAAAGAACCCAGGGCCTTGCACGTGTAAGCTAGTGCTGTACCACTGAGCTACATCAGCAGCCTGCAAAATTTTCATTTGTTTTTCCAAGAGTGAAAACAAAGTAGGATTTATTCAAGTGAAAAATAGAAACAGAAGTCTTGCAAGAGCAAGAGGTCAGTTTTGCAATGTGACTTTTTTCCTCCATTCACAAAACTCCTGGGTGACTGGAAAAGACTCCTTTTTAGGTAAATTCAATCACAAACTAAGCACCTCCCAGCCACTGCACTCTTCCAGGGAACTTTTTTTTTTTTCCTGCCTGACAAACACCCCAGTTCGATTTTATCAGACTCTCTAGGGTAACCCTAGACCTCTGCATTTTTTATAAAAGCTTCCAGGCAATTCTAATGTGTACTGGCCTAGTTTAATTTTAATCTAATACTAATGCAAGGCCCAGACCCAAGTGAAGCCCTGTCCCTAGGGAGCTTCTTCTATGAGGCAAAGCCCATAACTCCCTGAAACAGAGGCAGGGAGAGAGTGGTCACTCAAGCTGGCAAGGAGGGAAAGACTGTTCTCATGGCCTTTCCAGACCCCAGGCCCCACAGAACATGTGTTTACTGATTAGCTTTTTCTTCCTGAGAAACAAGTAGGACAGCTAGAACTTCTCCAGGTAATTTGTCCACTATATCCTCTTCTCCATTCTCCTGGGGGAAAAAGGAAACAAATAGCCTCTGCTTCTTCCGGACAGGGAGCAGTGAGGCACAGGAAATCTACTTCTGTGAGATCACTGCAGGCATGGCTTGATCATGCACAAAAAGTGGGTTTTCATTTTATTAAATTACTTAATATGTGTATATTAGTTAGAGTATATGTATATTTTGATTTCATTACATTACTCAAGTATATATGCTTAAGACAAGTTTAAATACGGCAAGAGCCTTGATACATAATTTCTTGCTTACTTATCGTTAATCAAAGCTACACTATAAACTCCTTAGGTCAAAAAAATTTTTTAAATAAAATTTAAAAATGGACTTTTAAAAACGCATTTTATTTCCTAATATCTATAGTAGCATGTGGCAGGATGTCTCAAATGTATCTGTAGAGTGGATATAAACATCAACGGATTAATTCATCACTAACTGATCTGTAAGTTACTCCCTATAGATTCTAAGGGGCATCAACTGCTGGGAAGAAAGAGACTCTTAACACTTCAGTCAAATGCACATGGAGTAGCCCACACTGTAAAGTAATTCTGAAATATAACAAAAGTCAAAAGAAATGTGTGATCTGGTTTACTAGACTTGAGTTTCACAGAACTTTAATCATTATTTTCTTCACCAAGACACCTGTGAAAATGCCCAAAAATGTTTTAAGAACTCACTGTCAATTTCTTTTAAATGTGTTACAAATTCAAAAACCACAGTCACCCCTCCTTCAACACTGCTGGAACCTGTGTCTTAGGACCCAGCCACTCTGACAGCCCGAAGCAGCTATTAATAGCAGAGGGTGTGATGCTATTTTTTATGGCTTATTAATAATATATTGTGTTTACACAGCAGCTTTCTCCTCAGGCACTCAGAGTTCTGCACATCAGCTCATAAATCCCCTGGAGGCAACTCACCAGACCTAGGTTTTTGTTTTTCTCCTATTTTATTAATGAGGAGGGGGAAAGGTATGTTTCATAAATACAAGGAGTCAAAATCGCACATTGAGGACTAAGAGGCCTGCCCAAGGTCACTCAAGGAGTTTGAAGTCCGCTCAGAAATAGAACCCAAATCAACTAATACCCTCCCAGTGGCCACTCCCAGTCAATCATCCAACCACTGAAAGACTCTGGATGTCCAAATCACATGCTCAAACCAATAAAGATCCAGGTCAGGAGCAAACATGGCTGCTTCTGCATCTGTGTGAACTACTTCCAAGCTTAAGGACAGATGGCAGAGGGTGGAAAAGGATACCTACTCCCCTAGCACATGTGGCCTTCACCTGGACAGGCTGGCAAGACAAGAGGACACTGAGGAGCCAGGTCACCAGAAAGCACATCAATATAGTCCCCTGATGAACCCAGACTGAAACTGATCTTAAATTCCCACTGGACCACATCAATGTTTATAGCAGCTCAATTTACAATAGCTAAACTGTGGAACCAACCTAGGTGCTCTCTTCAACAGATGAATGGATAAAGAAAATGTGGCACATACACACAATGGAATATTATTCAGCCTTAAAGAAGATCGAAATTATGGCATTTGCCACTAAAGGATGGAGCTAGAGAATATCATGCTAACGGAAATAAGCCAATCCCCAAAAAATCAAAGGCCAAATGTTTTCTCTGATATGTCGATGCTAATTCACAATAAGGGGACTTGGGGCTAGGGAAGAGTAGAGGTCCTTTGGATTAGATAGGGGGAGTCAAGGGACAGGATGGGGTATAGGGGTAGGAAAGATAATAGAATGAATCAGACCTTATGTGCATATATGATTACATAAACAGTGTAATCCTACATCATGTACAACAAGAAGAATGAGAAGTTGTACTCCATTTATTTTTGATGTGTCAAAATGTATTCTATTGTCATATGTAACTAATTAAAACAAATTAAAAAAAAAATTCCCACTGGACTAGCAGTTAACACAGTGTGAGCCTCAGATCAGTAGCATCCACACCACCTAGGAACTTGATAGAGAAACAAATTCTGAGTAAGTCCTCCCCAGCCCTACTGAAGCAGAAGCTCTAGGATAGGGCCTTCCAGTTGATTCTAATGTGTGTTCAAATTTAAGGAACTGTATTAAGACACAAAGTCCAAAAGAAACCTAGTGAAATCCAAAGAGATGGCCAAAGCCATTCCAAAGAAATGATAAAGGGGGTTAAACTCACCTTTTATTTTCCTGCTAAAAACTATGAATTGCTAATTGTGCATAACATTGGAAACCTATGAATCATATCTAGAATCATTACTTTTTGCCTTTGAAATTATAAGGGCAAAAACCTACTGACAGGTATTCACATCCAAATGA